ATTATATAAATTTGAACTAACATTTTTTGAACAACGACAAACTGACTTAGCAAATCGAAACTCCCCAAAGCCCGTTTGTAGCGTAGCGCAGCAAAGCGAAAAAAGTGAAAGTCTTGGCTTAGATTTACTTGTATAGCACTCGCAGAAGTTGCAACAGTTGCAATGTCAGCCAACAGGAGTCGGCAGTGGTCAGCAGTGGGGCAGCTACGTGAAATGTAAGCAGCTATGTCTGTATGTATGTATTTATCTATGCGTGTGTGTACGTATGCATGTACAAAATCTGGAAGCGAGTGACGAATACATTGGTCTGATAAGACGAGCTGAATTGCTCATACATTAGGCGCCTGATTAGCTGGTCGTTCACTTGTTCCCGTTCAAAAACCAAACAGCAAACAGCAAACAACAAACAAACGAACACAACACAACAGAACACAAACAAAAACAAAGAGGAGGCAAGCACAAAGGAATGTAAACAAATCGACTTCGAATTGGGCTTGGGTTTGGCTATGAAGTGTTGGATGCGAATGCATAAATCGAGTAAGTGGAGAGTATGGAGAATGAAGATTTAGGCTTACGTATGCTTCCATGCGTGCTCTTGCTTGCTATTATGGTCGCGTGGAATGGATGATAGTGAGCTGTCGTCAGCCGCGTCGTCGTTAAGCTTAGTTTTATGTGCCGCCGCTTACCTATGCCGTTATGCGGGTCGACGTCTCCGTCGGCATCCTCCGAGTCTTGCGACTGTGGACTGATCACAAAGTAGATCAGAAAACAGACGGGCAACAGGATCAACATGATATATACAAAACGCCGGAAGCCGGAGTTGCCGGCACGGCCGTAACGTGACGCCGCCATGCCGCCACCCATCGATGGCAATTCGTCAGCTAGCTGGGGATGGTAGCGTATCCGTCCGTTTGACTGTGACTGCACGCCCGTTTCGCTTGTCCAGCGCTCGTGCTGCTCCGCGTCGAGACGTTCGATGAGGTCGACGACGTCGTCGTCGTCGTCGTTGTGGTCGTGGTCGGCGCGCAGCTCGAGTGGTTGATAGTGGGCACTTGGCATTGTGCAGCTGCTCTAATGCGGCGCAGGGCAGCTGTCGCAGCAGCTTCCAATGGGTGGCGATGGTGGTGGTGCTGCTGCTGTTGGTGGTGGTGGCAACTGCAACTCCAACTGCAACTGAAACTGCGGCAGCTGATGGAAGAGAAGGCACAGATAACGACAGCGCCGGGCTGTGTTTGCCATTTGTGAACCTAAACTTTGTTTCTTATTTTTGTTTATCTCTTTATTTATTA